ACCTACCATAGAATTTTATTCTAATTTTATTCTTAAAAAAAAAAAAAAAAAAAACTCTTGAAACTGTGTTCTCTGGCAATGACAACAGTAAAGCTTTTTTTTTTTTTTGCATGTTATCCGTTTGCATGTTTAGCTCAATTTGTTTCATGGTTGTTGTTTTCAAGCCAAAGTGTTTATTCCTGCCTTGTAAATGCAATCAAATTTATTAAATTTTTAATAACAACATCTCTTAATCTTCAGCAGAAAAGTGAATTGCGCTGACTCTCGCGAGAAGTGAATCCAAATGATGCTTTGCTGATGCTCTCCACACGTTTCGTGTGATTGGCTGTTTGCTGCACGTATCACACGTTCAGGTGCACACACATGTTAATCACAAACTCTGGTTCAACTCTGAGTTGACAGAGAACATTTATATCGAGCTTTGTGAGCACGCTGAACCTGATCTAAACCTGGTTGGCTTTATCGGGTTTTGTCAACTCAAAACTTACTCTGCAACTCTGAGTTTGTTCATCTCGCTTCGTGCTGCAGGCCACCCTGGTGTTAAATGAACACTGCTCTGTCTTCATATGGGAACAAACCAGCAGAGTGTTGAAAGTAACACTGAAGCAGTATTGAAGTTAATAGGGTAATTAAGTGATTAATTAACCCTCTGGTGCCCCTCATTTGGGAGTCACCCTTGTGATCTTCACGGTCAAAAGAGACCGGACACATAAAATGTTACCTTTTTTCCCCCCAGTAAAATCAATGTAACATGTTTTTGTTCTATAATATTTTTTTCTTTTGTATTTTGAGATAATTTCATGGTACTAATTAATATTTATGCAATAATTATGATCAATTTCTTCCCATTGAAAATAATAACAAATTTTAAATATATTTTTATATTACTTTTCAATTAATGCAGTATTTCATGTTAAAATAGAGACAATGCCTTTAAAATCCAATTTTTGAAGCCTGATTAGTGCAATCTGGTGGGAGTAAAATAAGAAAAACATCTGCAATTCAATGGTTTAGCCCATATATTCCTATATGGCTCTATATAAAAGGCCTATACATTCTCTAATTGGTTTTTAGACATAAATACTTATTTTTATTAAGTTGTGGGTTTAGATATATATTTAGACATTCTCAAAGACAACTTTTTGTAAAGGTTTAGATTTTTTTTTTTGAAATGTTGATTTGAAGCGTCAGTTTTTGAATTATTATTACTACAGTCAAACCTGAACACAGAGAAAGCATTTTGTTATACAAAACATTAAAATTCTTTAAACATATAACAAAAATGAACAGGAATGTTTTATCAGAGCTTAATTATTCTGGGTCTGATCTTATTTCAGTTTTCTTACTCGTTTTGGCTATATAGGTATAGCCATACCAATTCATTTGAGTGTGTATAATTGTGTGTGTGTGTGTGTGTGTTAGTGGATGTGTCTTGTTTTGCACTCTTGATGTTTTAAAGTGTACCCCTTCCTTGCTGTCCACTTTTTTTTACTGCATTGTTGTTGAATTATTGCTTTTATTTTACATATTTTCTGTGTTACATTCACACCAGTTCATAGGTGCGTGTGTGTGTGTGTGTATACGTGTGTGTGTACGCATGTGTGTGTGTGAGTGGATGTGTTGGTTTTACACTCTTGATGTTTTAGAGTTTCACCCCGTCATTGCTGTGTACTTTTTTTCTGCATTGTGGCAGATTTGTAGATTGTAAACACAAAAATTCTCTGAAAAAAAAAAAATCTCGATTTCCCATTAATTTCCTATGCTCGGTCATTTTTGACCGAAGACCACAAGTGTGACTATTTTTTTTTTACAACCACTTAGCCTGCTCGAATCATGCCCTCATTTGTTTTGTGTGTGTCTTCACATTCCAAATGCCATAAAAGTCACCAAGTTTTGTACTATTCCGATGAAGCTGTGATGTTTCAAAATTCAAAACAGAACATTTTTCATCCAAATTTTTCATCCAAGAGCACCAGAGGGTTAAGTGATGATTGAGCATTAATGATGAAAACCTGCTGTTAACAAGCAGAATCACTGAAAGAAAGAAAAAAACACAAGAACCAGGTATTTTTAAAACCGCAGCTTTTTCTATGCGGTTTGGCCGTTCGTCTTCACGTAAACACAGTATCTGGTCACTGAAACTGAACCTTTTTGAAAATTCTTGCCAGGATGAAGATTTTCAGAAACTCCAGTTGCTGTGTTGTCGTCTAACCGATGAATCTGGAGATTTTGTTTTGTGACGTCGGAGTGCGAGCTGTTATCTCCTTTATTTGACGTTAGATTGTGCACTGCTATCTCCTTTGTTTACATGAGGCAAGTCCTAGATTGGCCAACATAGCTTTACGGTTAGGGTTATATCGCCACCTGTTGGTTTGGCATGCTTGACAGCACTTCATAGTGTGTTTTTGCATTTTCATGTGGACAAGATTTTTTTTTTAAACAAAGCAGGAAAAACTCAGTTTATAAAAATACCCATGTACGTGTGGACAAGGCCTTAGTTACATGCAAGATCCACAACTACCCCCTTACAACTACAACTGACTTCCAGACACAGCCTTAGATGAAATCAGCTGAAATAAAAGAAGACATTAAATCTCTCAAGATCTCAGCAGAACAAACAGCTTTACCAGCTTCACGCATTACTAACCAGATTGACTTTATTTCTGTCAGGCATCTACAAAATTTCTTTCAGAGGTTTAGATGTTGCTGTTTTATTGAAAATAACATTCATTTAAAGTTATCATAATAGTGATTAGTGTCACCTTTAGTTGGACTCTTGACTTTTTAACATTCATTTTCTCTGACTGCTGTAACTGTGTATTTATGCAGGATATTTTAAATGTTTTGATTTTTTAAAAATGTGAGAAGATCAAGAACATCCACTAAACCACATTTGCTTATTATTTTGGTTGCTGTTCTTGTTATTGTAACATATAGTATTTACTGTAAGTTTATTTTTCTGCTTCTGTCACACAGGATCAGCTGCTGTGGCTTTCATGAGCTATGTAACTGTGTATTTATGCAGGATATTTGTTTTGGGCAAAAATAAAAAAAGCAAACATGATCAGGTGATGCTGTCTATGTATTGATGATGATGTAATCAACTGATTCACTGATCTTGTTCAGACTCTCATCTACGGGTGATGTGTTATTGAATTATAGCTCTATAACACTGCAGCATGAGATCCAGCACACTGTTAACTATTTGGTCATCTGCAGGTCAAAGGTCAGATCTTGCAGTACACTGTATACTCAAGTGTTCCAGTTCTTAACTTGCTTTGTTTCCAAACCCAAATGTCCTTAAAATCAAAACATCTAAGTACCCTTTTTTTTTTTACATATACATTTATTCAGATAGCAGATTAATTTAAAGAAGACCTGAAGAGTTCAATCTAAATCAG